TAAACATAAAATAAAAGAATGTTTCCAAAGGCTACGAACGCAACAGTTGCATACACTTGTGGATAAGTAAATAACACTTCAGTATCACTTTATTATAAAAGCATGATTCTTGCTCGAAAATATGGCTCTGGGAAACAAAATCGCAAACGCCACTCAAAAGGGGTACTTAACGTAACCTGTTGTAATTTTTCAGTAGCCCAAACATGATTTAGTAACTACTTAGTTATGCCGAAAATTCTCTCTGTGGGTATTTTGTCGGAAAAATGTCTATTGGTTTCAGTCTTTTTGTTCTTAGCTTAGGTGAGGTTGATGTGGCGGTCGGGTCAAGTGACCAACACGCTTAGACCTTTCGAAGGTCCATTGTGGACCACTGCAGAAGACGACAACCTCAGTGACTATGCTTCAGAGAACCACTTACTGTTTTCCCCTTTTTTTCTCATACATATAAATATACTACTAAATGTAAATATAAAAAGCTTGGGCAGGCCGGTGCCCACTATCGATTTAAAATAAATTAAATCTAATATCTGGTGATATCTGATTGCTTACCGTAACGGTCATCTTGATTTTCGCCACATCATCTGAAAATGACTGAATAATAAATTCCAAGATATCTTAAATAAGGTTGCCACCGGTTTAAATAAATAAATTCGACTAAAGCGAATATATAAAATAAAGTTGCTTAAGGTTTGACATCGATAAACTCTACGTTGCCGTTGTCCGATTGTGAAAATACGCAATACTCAGCGATGAGAATGTTTATGACTTGGTTAGAACAAATAAGGAGTTGCCACCTGTTAAAAATTAAGGGAATTAGGTAATTGAAATATTACCATTTATGGGTATCAGATGAAAAAGGTTAAAGATTGATAACATTTTGAAAGGGACACCTGTTCAATAAGTTAAATTCAAATAATTTAATAAGTTAAATTAATTATTATTTTATGGCCATCAATGGCAATAGTCTTGAAAAGGTTTAATTTCTAAACTAAATTTAAGAGGGTTTCCACTTGTTTGAAAAGTCAAATTCCAAAAAGAGGTGAAATTTATTAGCAACGGCCACCTGTATGTGAAACGTATAAGTTAGCAGATTTTCAAAACATATATTTTTTTTTGTTTCTTACTTGCAATAAAACAAACTTAAACTTGACACTTCAAAACCATATAAATGCCAATACACACTACCGTTACCACCAAAGATAACTTAAGCTGCGTTTAAATAAAACCACAAGTTAAGTGCTTATCTGCTGCAGATGTCGTACTAATACACCGAAACATAATACGAATGCAGTTATTCGCAACATTGCTTATTTTTTTGCGCATTTGAAGTGTAAAAAGGTTGTATAAATAATTTTTTCATAACATGCAACCAAAAGAAAACACAAATAAATTATTATCTTATGCATACATACACGCATACTTGTATGTATGTATGTACACACGTGCTCGTTAACTATGCGCATGCAGACCAAACATTTTGATTCAGCACTTGAATGATGAGTCGATGAGTCTGCCATTGCTGTAAAACAAACTTGAGTGACAAAAAAGAAAAACAAACACACGTTTGCCTGAGAGTGCACAGCTGAGGCGGCGCTGAGCAATAAATGTCAAAGAGCGTATTTTTAGAAGCTGCCTAAACGCAGAAAAAAATATATATGTAAAATTGCCAGTGAAGAAGTTTTAAAGAAGAATTAAAAAAAAAAACATACAAAAATTAAACATATCTATACAAAATATCCGTAACTATAAAGAAGACACTTAATAGCAAATGGCGCATCTATACATAAATAAATCTTCGACAGAAGATCTTGGCATAAAATTTTAAGTTTATGATGCCACAGCAAATGCAATAAAAGCACCACATCAAAGTAAATCAAAAACGTGAGAAGATGCATGAAAAAAATAAAAGAAATTCCACAGCGTATTTTTCGCTTGCAATTTTTCCCTACAAAACAGCAAAAAAATAAAATAAAAAATAAAATAGCAACAAAATAAATAAATAAATGCAACTGCCGTAATCGCCGCCAACTATGTAGTTGTGTGAAATACATTTCTCATGCAGCCAACTGCTCTTCGGTGACTTACCTACACGGCGTATTCGCAACCTGTGCTGGCCGGCGCGAGAAGGCGGCAGGCGCAACGTGTTTTCATTCAGGCATTCATTCATATTTCGCTGCCGGCTACTACTTAAGCATACATATGTACATACATACACCTATCTACCTGCAATGTTGCATTGTGTTTTACACGCTTTGACGCTTACTGTTGACTTTGGTGGCATTAGTCGTGCAGTTGTTGCTGCTATTGTTGGTGCTGATGCTACAGCGCTGCCGCTTTTGTTACTGACCTACCTCCCCATTTTAAGTTAAAATTGACAATTATTTGAATCAGTTGATCGCATTGCCTCAAGTTTAGTGCAGGCAGGCAGGCAGGCAAGCGAACATTTGTACATACACATGCAGACATATGTACATATGCATGCCTATGTATGTATGTATGTTCACCTAAAAATGGGAGTGTTACTATGGAGCTAACGTTTCTAAATTGAAGATGCCTCCAAATACAACAGTAAGTAAGTAAGTGTTGTTGCTTTTGTTTGGCTGTTGTTTTTGGATTCATTGCTGTTACAAGCATAGTTTAGTCGCTTGCAGGTCCGCTACTAAGCGTTCAATTCATATTCGATGTTAGCTGACCTACTCTACTCGTGCACTATGCAAGTCAACCAAGGTACATATATGTATGTATATGTATTGACATGCACACGTGAATAGTATGCACACAAGCACACAAAAACACTGGGAGGTGAATTTAAAGTGTTACGGTATGTTGAGGTTTTTTTTCTTTGCTTACTTGATGGAGATTCCCTTCACTTTATAGTTAATAATCAGCGAAGTGGTGATGGCGCCGCTGATTGAACCATTGGCATTGTTGGTAGAAGACTCAGATTTTTTTTTGTAATATTTTAATTTACATTTTAAGTTGATAAATGTGAGAGTTTGCAAATTACCTGTACTCATACATATGGGCATGTCCGTTTACGTGAAGTGTGGCCAAAGTGATTACGGTAGTGAATAATTTAAAGAAATTTCGAAGTTGGCTGCTCTTAACTCCCGCTTGCAACGCTATTTTCCATCAAAATTGGTTAGATAGTTGTTTTATTTGAAAAAGCTCTACAGTCATATACATACATATATATCTACATATGTGATTTTAGAACTATTAATTTTAAACAAAAAATTAGGTATTTAATATACATAGATTCATATGTACATGGCGTATGAGTAACATTATTTCCCACTCATATTTCATACAAAAAAATCGTTGCGCATTTTTATTTGAACACTCATTAATTTTTTATTTATTCATCGATTTTAATCACTAGTAGCTTGATTTTTTTTGTAGCAGAAATGGAATAAAGCAAATGAAATAAATTGTTACAGAATCTCTTGTTTTTGTTTTTTTTTTTATTTTTTCCCAGTTACAGCCGGCTTTACTAGCAAATTAAATGGAAATTGATTTTTTATTTTCTGTCGATTTCCGTATAAAATTCAAAAAATTTAAATAATTTTTCACTTAAATTGCTTTCGTGCAAATGGCTGTAAAAGCTTGAATCTTATAATTTTGTCATTACGGAAAAAAACAAAAAATTTAAAATGATTAATTAATTTCTCAAAACCTAACAGGCGCATTGAAAAGATATGTATAAACGAATTAATTTTATTAGCTTTCATCTTCGTATCTCGTATTAAAATTGTTCAATTGCTTCAAAAGATATATTAAGGGCCGTTTTCTCATCTAACCTTTAGTTTACCGGCCACTTTATCGTCTCGATATACGAGTTTTCGTTTTCTCATCAGCGCATTAATTTCTCGAATCGATAAACTGTTGCTCACCCGATGCAACCTTTAAAATTTGTACCCAACTTTAAATTTTGGTTTGGTTTTGGTTCATGAGTCAGATATATTAAATATTTCAACCAAGGTTTTGGTTTTTGCTAACAGTTGCTCTTGCTCTATATTTGCTTATGTTGCATTGCCAACCTTTGAAATTTTATGACGAATATAGTGAAGTTTCACTCTCGGAAATGTAGTGAAGTTTCACTCTACGGAATAACAAATTTATTTTTACCGGCAAGGTAAGAAAACGAAAACACTTTAAAGTGAGGAACAATTTATCTGCCCTGTTAGTAGAGGCAACTTTACTGCTTACATTAGAAAACGGCCCTAAGTGGAATCACTTTTTTAGCTGATTAACGGTATATCGCAAATATCTCCAAAACTTATGCATAGAAAAAGAATGAACTCGATTTTCGGGATCAGCTAACAATTCTAGATAGGAATTGGATAGTAGCATTCAGTGTGAATTTTTGCTGTAAACCATTGTTATTAAATAGAGTCACTGCGGCTCGGAAATTTTGTGCCGGAGTTTTGGTTGGTCCAACCTTTTAGTATCATATAGTACGTGATCGGTAGACAGTGTTTTTTTTAGATGGGAGTCAGTTTGCATTGGCACCGTACCAGAATGGTTGGGAAGGATCTCTTTGCACCCGTTACGCAGAAAGCAGCTGAACTATATATACTGCAGAGGTATCAATATCAAATATTAACCAGCATCAAGAGATGCAGGCTAAATTAAGTTGCGATGTACATATGTATATCGACCTTGGTTGGGTATTTTTGCTCGAGAAGTTACAGGTAATTGATTAATCAGGTTGATCAATGAATGCATGTACCTACATAAGTAGTTGTATACGTTTGACATGCTCAGGTGCTTCAGGATCGCATTACACATTGTTACTGTAGAGAATTGTGCTGGTAGGCTCTTATCATCTTAAGGGAAAGACAGGGTAAACATTTTGTAAAAATAAAAAGAGTGACGCACATTATTGATCGTAATATGAATACTCATACTATACTAGGTTGTACATCTCTAGCCTGATAAGACATACTTTTCTACAATTCAAATGTACTTAATCTGTTTTTTTTTCTCTAAAATTTCAGCTACTCTTCACTACACTTATTGCCTTAGCGCATAGCGCACGGCTGGATAACAAATATCTCCCACCGCCAGCGAGTGCAGCTAGTGCTGGTGGTGGTCCTGGCTTGCAAGGCCCTAGTGGCAGCAATTTTGGACTTGGTGGCTTTTCGGGTGCTGGTGGTCCTAGCCGTCCCATAGGCGGCGGTGGTGCACCAGGTGGTGGCTATGGGGGTGGCGGTAGCGCACCTGGCGGTGGTTTTGGTGGCGGCGCACGTCCTGGCCCTTCTGGTCCCGCGCAACCATCCGGTCCACCAATACCAATTTTATCCTATGTGAATGAAAACGATGGCGATGGAAATTATCGCTTCAGCTATGAAACCGGCAATGGAATAAAGGCGGAAGAGGAAGGTACCATAAAAAATAAGGGTTCGGAAAATGAAATCGCTTCGGTCATGGGTTCATATTCGTACACAAATCCGGAGGGTCAAGTTGTTGAGATTACCTACCTTGCTGATGAAAACGGTTTCCAACCATCTGGCGATGCCCTGCCTACGCCGCCACCGATTCCGGAGGAGATAGCTAAGGCTTTGGCAGCGCAAGGCATTTCAGCTGCACCTGGCGGCGGTTACACGGGTGGTCCTGGCACTGGAGGTGGTGGTGAGTTCACTTCCATAAACTTCATTGCAAGAAAAAATGTATACTTATAATATGTCGAAAACTTTTAAATTGTAGTATTCGGCGGTGCTGGTGGTGGCACAGGCGCTGGCGGCTATGGTGGCACTGGAGGTGGTGGCGGCTATGGCGGTACAGGACGCGGTGGAGCTGGCGGTAAGTTGACTTGAATGAGGATAATTATGAGCATTATAGAATTAATGATTTCTTATTATTCAAGGTGGATATGGTGGTGGTACTGGAGCTGGTGGTGCTCCTGGTTTTGGTGGCGGCGCTGGAGGTCGTGGACCTGGTGGAGCGCCAGGATATGGCGGTGGTCCCGGTGCGGGTGGTGGTGCGCCAGGATATGGCGGTGGTCCCGGTGCGGGTGGTGGTGCCCCAGGTTTTGGTGGTGGTGCCGGTGCAGGTGGAGCGCCTGGANCCAGGATATGGCGGTGGTCCCGGTGCGGGTGGTGGTGCCCCAGGTTTTGGTGGTGGTGCCGGTGCAGGTGGAGCGCCTGGATTCGGTGGTGGTGCCGGTGGTCGTGGAGGCGGAGCTGGAGGCGCTGGTGCAGGTGGATTCGGTGGTGGAGCAGGTGGTCGTGGTTCAGGGGGAATTGGTGGTGGAGCCGGTGGACGTGGTGCTGGAGGAGCTGGAGGTGGAGCTGGCGGTTATAACTATGGTGCACCAGGTGGTGGTCCTGGAGGTGGCGGGGCACCCGGTTTCGGAGGTGGTGCAGGTGGACGCGGTCCTGGCGGCGCTGGTGGACCAGGTGGTTTTGGTGGTGGTCCCGGTGCTGGAGGATCTGGTGGTCGCGGGCCAGCTGGTCAAGGTGGTGCAGGAGCTGGTGGCTACGGTGGTGGACCGGGTGCTGGTGGATCGCCTGGATTTGGCGGCGGTGCTGGCGGGCGTGGCCCAGCTGGCCCCGGAGGTCAAGGCGGTTATGGTGGTGGCGCTGGAGCAGGTGGCGCACCTGGTTTTGGAGGTGGCGCTGGCGGTCGTGGTCCAGGCGGAGCTGGTGGTCCAGGCGGTTATGGTGGTGGAGCTGGTGGTGCAGGTGGCGCGCCTGGCTATGGAGGCGGCGCTGGCGGCCGTGGCCCAGGCGGAGCTGGTGGACCAGGCGGCTTTGGTGGTGGACCAGGTGGAGCTGGTGGTGCGCCCGGCTTTGGAGGCGGTGCTAGTGGTCCTGGTGGACGTGGTGGCGCTGGCGGTTTTGGTGGTGGTCGTGGAGGAGCTGCTGGACCTGGCACGCAATATGTACCACCAGGTCCGGGCGGTGCTCCTGGTGGTGGTCCCGGTGCTGGGCCTGGTGGAGCTCCCGGTCGACATGGGAGTGGCGAATTTAATCCCCAAACCGGCTATAATTACTAAAATGCGGTCGATGACGTTAAACCTCGGGACGATTGCCCTCCACAATACGCTAACGCTATTCCAAAAAACGCTGCCCCAAATATACCTGAATATTCACAAGTGCGCAATCGCTTAGAGATGCGTATGTATAGTTTTTTTTCGGTTCATTCAGACCAAATGTGCCGCCTTAGCGTTTATTTATTTTCGCGATTATTAATGCTTTTTTTAAATGCTCGTATATTTCATTTCATCTGTCAATTAAATTCATCCACTTGTACATTTAAATTTACTTATACTTATAAACAACTGTAATGATATTTCCTGTAAGGATGTGAATGTTATAAATGGCTAGTGAAGAAAATGATAAAAAAAAAACAAAAATTGTTATCGAATTGTAATTTTTATGAATGATGAATCTCCCATTCTTTCACTTTACGTAAATAACTAAGTGTTTTATTTTGTTATACTTTCCTTTTTTAGTTAAATTAACTGTAATCTCTATCTCTTCTTAATTGTAATGCTTTCAATGTATGTATTTAGGAAAAACATGATGAGTAAATGAACGAATAAAACCATGTTCGAAAAATGTAAGAAACTTTTGGTTGTTTTGTTAATAATTTCATCGAATAGTTGTGAGTTTGTGTTCGACTCATAGGTAGCAGATCCTATGCTCGAGGGCAGGCACACTCTCGATTTTGTCCATGTCCCATCAACTTCGGCAGAAGTCTTTGGCCGGCAAGCCCATTCTACTACCATGCCTTCCCATTAAGCAATGACCCGTTATATTACGGATCACCTGCTTTGGTAGAGAGCGTTCTAACCGAATGAGTGCGTCGGATCTTTGCCTGTCAGAACTGGGCCAGATTTTTAAAATCGTTCACCATTTGGGTTTTTCCCACCATTTTTTATTAACATGCTCGACGAAGTATGTCTTGAGCCATGTCTTGCAGCTAGAAAGCGCATGAGATGAGTTGACGTCAGACAGGGTGGCTGGATTCCTCGCAAGCTCGACCGGTCCACATTTATCTTGAATGTCTTTTTCGTCTGATACCCAAATATTCTATCGTAGTTATTGCCGAGGTCTCACAGCAATCTTGTGACTTGTTGGGTCTCGGAGTATATAGTAATGGAAAATTAAGAGAAGATTCGATAAGCCAGAGTGCAGCCTCTTTTATGACCGCGAGTTCTGCTTTAAGTGGTGGTCTGGCAGCCTAAGGCCCCGGTCTAATGAGAAGTCCTTTGAGCACATCCCACTCCCTGCTCCGTGTAGTTATCTTGTAGACCCCGGACCGAGTCGTCCTATCAGTCCTTGCTCAAGGGAGAACTTTTTCTGGAGCTCCAGCGGTAGTGTTGGGTAATATGGGGACCTAAACGCATCGGACTAGTTGGTTAGAATGTTGGTGTAACCTAATCTAGTGTCTTTCCACTTTGACATTGCATTTAGTCTTACTGCGTTGCAGCTCGCCTGTAATTTCCTCAAAAGGTGTACGAATAGAAAGTTGAGAAGGTTTTTCATGGCTTTAGCGGATATGGATGGCAGTTTAGAATTAGTGAACGACTTAGCTAGTGACGTGCACCAATCGCGATGCCGTGGAATAATATAGGACGTGATCCTGCTGTATAAATCCAGGGCACTACGTGGGGCTTGAGATTTCACGTTCCTAAGTTTCTTGTCCAGAGAACAGCCACTTCACTTCATTAGAAAGCGACAGTGCTCGCCATTTAACGTGTGAAGTTGAAATAGGCAGATTTTAGTTATCCGGATAAAGAGAACCATGGTCATTTTGCCGGGCTGGAGCTCAGTCCACATTCTTTAGACAAGTTTCCCATGAGACTGAGGGCGTTCTGGTTTGTTCAAGACTTGTGGGTATTTACACCTCGTCGCCTGGGTAATAGATTGTCGTAAGCGCCATTTTGACGATTTTTAGTTCTAGATGCAGTTATATATTTTGAGATAAGGTCTTTCGATTGTTGTTATCAGTTTTTAGATATCTCCTTTAGTATCCGAGATATTGACTACAACTTTTTCGATAATTCAGTAAAAATTTAATTGGTGATGCAGTCATATTAACTAATCAATATCTTAAAAATGGCGTCCTCCATTTTTGGATAACTCCTTTAGTTTCCAAGATATTGAGTAAAAGGTGTCGTTAATTTGGTAGAAATTTAATCACATTTTGTCGTATAGCATAAAATGTGGCTGCCAAATTGTGGACAATTGACGCTTACGACAAAATTTGACCAAAGAAAGTCCTTCATTAACTTTAAGCTAACTAACAATAAACAATAAAAGTTAAATAATTTACGAATTTTGTGAACTAGTAACATTTTCAGAGACTTTGGAGAAAATCTATCTTCGCATTTTTGAGAAATTGCATTCCAAACTGCAATCGCGATTTCCCACAACCTGCCGAAATTAACATACGACAATCATCGGCATACGCAATTGCGTTGTCAACAGTGCCCTCTAAGTACAAGAGTTGCGTGTAAAGCTATTAGGTTAATGAGGTGTGAGTTCTCCTCCTTGAGGGGTGCCCCTTATCGTACATCTTGTGTTGTAAGTCCCACTCACCTCCGAATAGATAGTTTTTTGATTGAGAAGAAGACGGAAAAAGTTCGCCAGCGATCGAAACAGACTGATTGGGAGCAGTGATGCCGTGCTCGCTTCTGTGGAAGGTGATATGGTCCATTGCTTCATCCCGATGAATCTAGTTTATCGAGAAAAGCATGCTGAAAGTCTACAGATTCCGCTTCATCGGATGTTATCGGTAAGCAGGGCTTACTGTTAGAAGCGCTACTAAAAAGGAGATCTGAAATTAGTTTCCTGCATTTGTTTCCAGTCAATTCATCTGCTATTTCTGTAAGCGACTGAAGATGTCGGTTCAAAATAAACCTTTAAATTGATCGGAAAGGGATTAGTCATTTGAGACATGCCACTCACTACTGTTTTCTAGAAAGCTATCCGACACAGGCAAGTGGCTAATACTTCTCTTTTGTTAGCGGTTACAAAAGTTGGCCTATTTGCGATATTACATATTGCTAAGCCATTTGAGAATTTGAAATAAAAGTCACCCCGATTGTAAGTGTGTTCGCATCGGTCCCGATGACGATGGGAAACTTCCACTTTTTGGCCTCTTCCATAGAGTTTCACAACCGTTTTGTTTTTGTTAAATTATTACTATTTGCGTGCATCTAAAAAAAAACCTGAAAATCTGGTACATACACAATATAAATTTAGAGCCGTATTTAACAAAAGTCGCCTAACTTCCACAATTTTTATGCGATTGCAATAAATTAGATAGTACTGCTTATATTGTGGAAATTTTCGATATCAAAATTTAAAAAAATCGAGGAATATGTTTTCTTTTATTTTACCCGATAAAAAATCCCGACAAGCCAAGTTCGACAATAAATTTCTATATATCATTTTAAAGGCCTATATATCCTCAGATCATATTCGATCTTTGAAATCGAATCGATCGATTCGATCTTTGAATCGAAAATCGTGCTTTCTGACCAAGTCACGACCTCTAAAAAAAAATTATGAAAATAGGCAATAATATTTCTCATAAAAACGAATAAAATTAGGGGGCAGGATCTTGAAATTTCCAAAAAAACAAAAGCATTTTCGATGGGCACCCTAATGTATATACATACATATAGAAGGCATTCATTAAAATTTGCAAATACTTCAAATGTTGAGCGTGACTTAGGGCCTTATTCTATATCACGAACGATAGTCTTCAGACGACAACCTCTCAGATTGCGATTTTAAACTCCATCGGTCATCTTCGTCTTGCTTTTCAAACATTACGTTGCAATGGACTCGGTTGCGTTTAAACCGGCTAAAATGATGCCGCCGGACTAATTTTTGAAGCATTCCTCTGCAGACGAATCGTTCGTGTTGCCTATCGTTCGTGATACAGAATAAGGCTGTTAAATACTTACGTCAAAAGAAAAACTATTTGATATTTACAAACATACATAGTCACATCGGTTAAATATATGAACTTCAAAGTACGTAAGTTAGCCAATAACAATTATCCTATTTCTCTTAAAGTATCATCTTCTTAAAGTCATAATTCATAATAATTTTACAAACTACTATTAAAAATTAGATGCACAAAAGAAAATGATTTGTGTTTAAAATGCCTTTGAGGTGTTTAAAATAAATTTTTATTTGCATGCAGTTAAAAGTTAAAAAAGCAAACAAATTTATTATTAATTTTAGGAATAACTAACATTAGCCAATTAAAGTTCGGTCGATATTTCCCACACAATGCGGCGCGAAAAACCATACACACATACATATAGGTATGTATGAGTATATATGTATGCCTTGCACATTAAACTTAAATATTTAGACGTCCACATGCTTTGAATATAAAATACGGATAGGCACTTGTAGTAAAAAAGTATGCTGCACAAGTACCTATATGTATATGCAAGCCGTTAGTATGAGTATATTGGCGTTATGTTGAACCAGCATAATTAATACCGTTGCAGCATAAAGTCGCAGTCAAGTGATGGTTCAGAGGTACAAACTGGAATGTACTAATGTTAGGGTAAGTAAAGTGGGAATTTGAATGTTTTCACCCCCTAGGATTGTGCTATATCGAAAAAAATTATACCCCTATTTTTTATTTAGAAATCAAAAAGTATTTAGAGGTCGCCCAAAGCGCTCAAACTTTTCCATGTATTTTGTATGGAAAAAAAACTTTTCGTGGAAATGGTATGGAATTCTTCGAAATCAATATATTTCGATCGGAAAACTCTACTTCTCTTCGGCAGACTTCCAATAACAATATCCAATTATTTATTTAACCATTTTTTAAAAAATTAAGATTTTTTATTTATCCAACCATTGTATTTCCTGGAATTTTCTAAGATTTTTGGCGGTCCTATAAAATATCGTAACTAAGAAAAAACTGTAAAAAAATACTTGGGTTTTATTATTGGGAATCGGTTGAAGAGCAACAGAGTCTTCCGATCGAAAAATATTGATTTTCAAGAATTCCATA